CGTGTATAACATGCCGCACACCCACTTAAGTTTGTCTTGGTCTTTGGCCGAAAAGGTGTTGGCATGGAATTTGCATAACCAACTGAACGTCAATGTCTTCTGCATGCGACCAGCATATGAGTATGTGTATCAGTGTGTGTGTGTGTGTGTGTGTGTGTGTGTGTTTAAGCATGTACAGTTGTGCGCGTCGACATTTGCATACGACCACGTTGTATACATGACCAACCTGTTTCTATGTATGCGAAAACACACTAATTAAATGTTGAAGGCAGTTTATATTGATGCCCCGCATGGCCAGCGGGCGGCGAATCAGAGTTCTGCATGGGACATAAGGATGGGGCTGGAGCAGGTAAATGAGAATATGTACATATATGTGCTATATGCATTATATACCAGAGAGAAGACAAATGTGTTTGTGTGTGTGTTTGTTCGGCTTGCCTAAGAAAATCTATAGCCAAGGGGACTCAAACTCAAACCGCAACCAAATGTCTTCATTTTGCACATCAAACCAAATGCAGCCGCACACACATTATCAGGTTATTGCATGTATGTGTGTGTGTGTGTGTGTATGTGTGTGTGCGTGTGTGTTTGCCAAGGATTTGTAATTACATTCGGCATCATTCGGACTTGTCTTTGTTGCCCAAGGCAGCAACAGCAGCAGCATTAGCAGAACAGTCATCATATTCAAGGCTATTTTATACGACTATTTTATATGTAGATAAATTATTATATTTCTCCTATGCAAGTTGTAAGCATTTATTATGCAATATAGCATTTTCGAATGCTGGAAATGATCACAAATATGGTTCAGGAAAATGTTTGATGAATTCGTATATTGATTTTTAAAATGGAAAGCAAAAACATTTGAAGCTGTTAAAAAAATGAGAGCCAAGCCCAAGAAGAGCATTCTATATATAAATAATTTATATATTTAAATGAAGTGAATTAATTGAATATGCTTTTAGTCAGCTGCTAAATATTATACTGAGCTAATGTCTGTGGCTTTTGTTTAGCTCCAGCTATGGGTTCTGATTATGCATTATACAATGCAATTATCAGACTGACAGTTTGGTTAATGCCACAACTATATGGCTAACTAGCTACGACTTAGACATGTCTCCTTCTAACTCCTTGCCATTTGGCAGAGACAGCGAATAGTATAGAAGAATAGGCGCCTAAAACACACCCAGCAATGAGCCAGTGTCTTGAGGTTCTGCCACCTGCCTGGTTTACACACGCAGACATTTTTAATTAAACGTAAAATTTTGCGCTATTGATTAGTTTCGAAAGAAACAATTGGAGTGGTGCAGGGGGGGAGAGGACAGCCGTGTGAGCATGTAAAATTGTGCAGACCTAGTTATTGCCAACGCATTAGTATTAGCGCCTCAAATGACGTGACTTACCCCTACGAGTAGTTGGTAGTTTGGAAGGAGGGAGGTGTGACTTACAATTTGGCTTGGCAGGGCTGCCGTCTGCCAACTGACACGCAAACAGTAAGGACTACGGACGACAGGACTACAGGACTACGGGCCTGTCATTGTTCACGTGCCCGGCCGCAGGCAGCGGCAGCGGAGAGAGTGTTGCAAGTTTTGGTTGCCAGTTTGGCGTCTTTTTAACACAATGACAGTTAATTAGATTGTAAGGCTAGGTAAAAGGATATATGCAAGTCGAATGTTGAGTCTACTATGCAGGTGCAATAGTTTCGTCAGCGAAACTTTCACGTCTACCTGTAAATGAGCCTAATTGACTTGGTTACGAAAGTGGTTAGGACAAGCCAGGTGGTTGTTGAGTGTGATTCCAAATTTATACGATTTCTATAAGTCAAATATATCTTCTAAAAATCCTCTGAGAGTGCTTAATGGTGATAAATTTGCTTTATTACCCAGTCTTAGATATTTTACATTAGATTTCCAGATTTATTATATCCTTTAAGTTTTTTCTCTTTCTTCACTTTATTATTTATTTAAAATTGTGGACTGCCTTTAACCAACATTAAATAGGTAAGAAACATCAATTTTCTGCAGTTAATAGCTCAATTTAAAGACACTACAAATTCTCGATTATAAAATCAATTTCATTGCTAGAAAATGGGCTGACTAAATTGCCAGCTGTGTGGCTTCAACTAATGAAATCATTAAAATTGCTTAAAGGCAAGTTTACGAATGGCAAGCGACTGGCACACACACAGTAACAGTGGCATGCAAAATTTATGTGGCTAGTTGAAACTATGTTTTGGCTCATACACATACACACACACACACAGGCAGTAAGGATATACAAGGAAAGGACATTGCCTTGAGCCGGCCGAGAAAAACACAGACACAGTCAAAGTTGCGAGTGGCGCATTTAAAGGCAAAGATACCAAACCACCCCCTTTACTGCCTCCTCCTCCTCCACCTCCAATGCCAAGTGCCTGCCGCGTGCGCTACTTAAACCCTTGCCCAAAACTATATCCCCAACTACTCCTAACTCCCAGCGTGGAGAAGGACAACGACGGCCAGACATCGAAAACATGATTTTAGTGTTTTCAAATTTGAATTTTAAACAAGTCATAATATAATTTGGTTAAGCAGAAAACGCAAAAGCAAAGCAAAAGCCCAAAACCGAAACCTCATACCTCCTCCATACCATCGACCCACCTTACTAGGCTCTTGTCTGTGTCCACTTGCCGGGCTTTAATCCGGTACAGAACCCGAACCATGCCCGTATAACCCAAACCCAAGCTGAGGCCCCAGCTCATTTTTCGCATGGCGTTTTTCTTACAGCACAAAATTGTGAAATTTAAATTAGATAGAAAAGTATCTATAGCTCTATATACATATGTATATACAAACTATGTGCTTGTAGAGTTACATTGTGGGTGTGCGGCTTGCCCGCGTCAGGCAAACTATCTCACACGGAATATTGTAATTTTCCTTCAACTAAAGACGTAAACGGATATTAGCAGCAAATGTATCCCCACGTCATTTGTGGTCCTTGACGCTGTCCTGCCGATAACTCTGCCTACAGCTAAAAGGCAATGGAAGCGCCTTTTGTTATCGAATATGCGCTGATTAGTTTGAGCAGGGTTGATTAGCGAGTTTTCAATTAATTAAGCAATTAGAGTTGGCAATTCAACAAGCATGCTTCAAAGTCAAATGAAAGGACTGCCTCGCAAATGGTTTATTTACTAATATGAACTATAATACATTTATATTCGAATAATATTAAAATTAATAGTACATACATGACCACTAACTTCTAGACTTTCAGAACTATTAAATATAATACTGGCTTATATATTTACTTTTAAACTGCGAAAAGTGCAAGAATAATATATTATTAATTATTTGAAGCTTATTTAGATTCATTATATCGATTGATGTTATCATCATGCCAACTCTAATTAACTAAGGTTTCAATGTGAATCGAAATTACTCATGAGATTGGCAACATCTTTCAGCCGCCTGGCAACTCTGCGCCTGGTCTTGGATTGCTAGCTGAATGGGACTACGTATGTACGTATATACATACATACATATATATTTTAAATCATATAGTAGCATAGTGCTGTCTCTGTCGCAGTCGAAGTCGACGTCGCCCTGGCTACACTTTAAATATGCTTCGATGGGCTGAATGGAAATGGACTGTGGGCGTCATACTTCCAGGGCGTTGTTATCGTCAACTTGGTTTGCATACATTTTCCATTCTAATTTCTAATTATTTATATAATATATATGTAAGTGCCTATGTGTGTGTGTATGTTATAGTTGTAGCTGTCTGACCAGTTGGGTGGGCTCTGTCTCCGCCCCCCTGCCACACAGCCTGTTTGTCTGTGCGAATTAATTAAGTGTTTTCGTGCGCGGGCAAAATCCTTTTGCGGTTCAGTTGCCTCGTGTGCTGGGTAAAAGTTATAAGGTTTAGCTAAGGCTAAGGCAAAGGCTAAGACTAAGGCTGAGGCTGAGGCTGAAGCGTTCTGTCTGTGTGGATACACGTATATGTGTTGTTTGTAGTATGTGAATGTGTTGAGGGAAAATCAATTATAAATTAAACATTTATTAAAGAAAGCACTGCCTTTGCAGCGTCAGCAGCAGCAGCAGCAGCAGTAACAGCAACAGCTCGAGATCCGTCTCACTATGCCTATGCAAATCAAGCGCGGCATAAATAATGCGACATCATTATTTAGGCGGGTAGGCGAAAGATATAGCTACGGATGCGAACAGAGGAAGGCAGCCAAGGAAGTACTACCAGGTAACTAAAGCAACCGATTCAAACGAAACGAAACCAAACCAACCCATGCCATCCCATCCATCCATCCATCAATTATGTTGAAGTCGAGCTTTGCCTTTTGGCAGCTGCTTAAATGTGATTCCACTCATTTCAATTGTGTTTCCAGCGGGCTCGCTTGATTATGCACATGCATTTGGTCGACGCGCTCGTACATCAAACTCCAAACTGGAACTGGAAGTCGAACTCAAATAAATGCGGCCTGCATGCATACATGTATGTGTATGTATCTAGAATGGGCATATGCTGATAGATGCTGAGCTTAACTGATTTGTGTGTATATATCTGCATTGGTAATTTGTTATAAAGCGACTTTAATATGGCACACAGTACCCCTTGACTTTCATTCCTTTCAGATCTGTGTTTTTCATTTTATTGTAATTTTTGTTTATTTTACTTATATTTTTTTTTATTTTTTTCGCATTTGCACATGCGCAGCAGGAACCTAAAATATGATTTGCATATGAGATGAGAGACTTCGGTTTGCATTAACATTGATAAGTAGTCCAGGATGCAAGAAGATGAACAGACAAATAGATAGACGGTTAATAGGCGTTCTGTGATTAACAGTTAAGATATCTGCTCGAGATGGAAAGAATGAGGTAATATATTTATCAATTAATACATCTATTAAATAATTAAGTAAAATATGTAACTGATTTTTTGTGAAATAAAGTAGGCTCCACTATATCTGTCAATGTAAAGCTGAATTTAGTTTTATACTATGCGAAGTTTAGTCATTGTCTAGTATAGGGGCTTAGAGCTCACTTCAATAATACATTTTACCCCTTTCAGAGTTTCGGTAAAAAAATAAATTTTCTATGTAATATTTCATGTTCTAAATTTGTAAAAGTTAAAACAATGATGTTTTGTAAGTCAACAATTAACGGCTCCGGTCCCCTGCTAGCAAAATCACGATTTATGGCAGAATCTCTTATTCGAAGCTACGCAAAGAAACACAAGCCCTCTCCCATGTGTATGAAAAAGAAGGAGGTTTCTTGCGTAAATAAGCACCCCAAGCCACGTAGCGCTAAGAATATCCGGAAAACATTTCCATTCTATGACCTGATCAAATTTAAGAAGGAATGCTGCGAAACGGATTGCCCTGAGAAGGACTTTGCCAGCTTTGACGAATGCCTGTACACAGAGTCGGACAAGAACAAACGCAAATACCAAATCACATGGGTGGACTGTCCTCCCATGGCGATCAAGCCCAAGAAGATATGTTGCTATATCACGTCAGAGCGTCCTCCTTTTGAGCGTCGCCAGCGAAAATTCAAGCCACCCACGGCCTGCCAGATGTTCAAGTGCCCGGACCCACAGGAAAAATGTCCAAGGCTCAAAATGCCACACTGTAGACCGGTGGCTTCCAAGATCAAATGTCATTTGATTCGTGCTCCCAGTGACTGTGTCAAGATAAAGGCACCATATCCTGCCTTCTCTGAGTGCGTTCGTCCGAAACCGCGCAGGAAGAAAAGAACTGAGTGCCAATGCTGGGATGAGATACCAATGTGCGATCTGCTCAGGGTGTTGAACAGGCGTCTCAATAGTGGCACAACGAACATGAATCCATGCCATAGGCCTAAATAAAAATTACTGGTTTTGTTGGCGGCTACCTGGATGATAATTATAATCCTTACTCAGTTAAAGTTTCATTTTCATATTGATCATATATTCAATTGATATGTTACTTTAATAAACTAAGACACGGCTGTGCTTACAAATCGTAATACGTATATATCCTACCAATATGGGTTCATGAAATAAAGATCTAATGTCACTAACTCATTCGCATTAAGGGTTTTCAAAACAAATTGCAAATGGATTCGTTGGGCTTTTCAGTATGGCGTTTGACTCTGTAAACCACTCTTTACAAACTTTATCTTCTGCGATTTTCAAATGACCCAATTAGTTGGATATCAAAATAATGAAGCTGTCCAGATACTTCCGGACTATCGCAAGGAATTCCCTTGGTCCCTTGTTATTCATGCTATTTATAAATGACCTTCCGTCCGTTATAATTCACTCTCGATGATGTAAAACTTTGCTTGTCCTCTGCTGACTCTCTGACTGAACAGAGGCTTCAAATAGAGCCTGTTGATGATTTGGGTATTCTTTTAATAATGTCAATATTTTCGCTTAAGATTGACAAGCATATTTTTTCCTCTGCTAATCGAGCCTTTGACGTCCTGGATTTCAACAGGAGCTTGTCAAAAGAATTTGACGATCCCAACATTACTAAAACACATATTTCACTTGTGCGTCCTATTCTTGAAGAGGCGTGTTGAATATAGTTCCCTAAATATAAAGTTCATCAGGACAGGAAAGAATCCTTACAAAACCCATTTCTATTGTTTGCCCTTTGGGGTCTTAAATGGAGTACTTACCTACCCACAGTTAGAATGGGTTGAGTAGAATTGCAACCAGTTATGGGAAAAAGCACTGCTTACATTGTAGTCGAAAATTAGTACAATTACCTACATCAAAACTGTTTTTCATAGATCATAGTAGGCATATGCCAACATATTTCGATTTTTCAGGCAGCTAGTAAAGTTTGATTTCTAGTAATGTTAGTCTACGACAAGCTTTGGTCGAATCAACAATAGAAAAATACAAATTTAAAAATATCAAAATTTTCAGCTTCTGCTTTTCGGCAAAAAAAAAAAAAAACAAAATTACAAGGGATTCCTTTCTGTTTGCATTCGGAAACATATTAAATATTAAATTCAGAAAATGTCCGGAATGCTATCTATTGGAAAAATGAACGGCATTCGTGCTGTAACGCCAATATGCCGCTACTTGTGCACTAGCTCAAATGCTAGATTTATGCTTGTGAGATCCCGTGCTGGAGAAGTCCTTGGCCGCAAACAGATCGAAGAGAAATCTGTTGCTAATGGAGTATTTTTTTGCCGAAAACAGAAGGGAGAAAAATCTGCCACTTCATCTGGAGAGAAGACCGGGACTGTGAATGGATTAATCTTTTCCACCAAGCATAAAGAAGAAAAACCTGCAAGCTTCAATGGAGAGATATTCTGTAGCAAGCAAAAAGAAGAGAAGCCTGCTAATTTCAATGGAGAAATATTCTGTAGTAAGCAAAAGGAAGAGAAGCCAGCTAACTTCAATGGAGAGATATTCTGCATGAAGCAAAAGGATGAAAAGCCCGGCTCTGTGAATGGATTAATCCATTCCACCAAGCACAAAGAAGAAAAGCCTGCAAGCTTTAATGGAGAGATATTCTGTAGCAAGCAAAAAGAAGAGAAGCCTGCCAATTTCAATGGAGAGATGTTCTGCATGAAGCAAAAGGATGAAAAGCCCGGCTCTGTGAATGGATTAATCCATTCCACCAAGCACAAAGAAGAAAAGCCTGCAAGCTTCAATGGAGAGATATTCTGTAGCAAGCAAAAAGAAGAGAAGCCTGCTAATTTCAATGGAGAAATATTCTGTAGTAAGCAAAAGGAAGAGAAGCCAGCTAACTTCAATGGAGAGATGTTCTGCATGAAGCAAAAGGATGAAAAGCCCGGCTCTGTGAATGGATTAATCCATTCCACCAAGCACAAAGAAGAAAAACCTGCAAGCTTCAATGGAGAGATATTCTGTAGCAAGCAAAAAGAAGAGAAGCCTGCCAATTTCAATGGAGAGATATTCTGCATGAAGCAAAAGGATGAAAAGCCCGGCTCTGTGAATGGATTAATCTTTTCCACCAAGCATAAAGAAGAAAAACCTGCAAGCTTCAATGGAGAGATATTCTGTAGCAAGCAAAAAGAAGAGAAGCCTGCCAATTTCAATGGAGAGATATTCTGCATGAAGCAAAAGGATGAAAAGCCCGGCTCTGTGAATGGATTAATCTTTTCCACCAAGCATAAAGAAGAAAAACCTGCAAGCTTCAATGGAGAGATATTCTGTAGCAAGCAAAAGGAAGAGAAGCCTGCTAACTTCAATGGAGAGATATTCTGCATGAAGCAAAAGGATGAAAAGCCCGGCTCCGTGAATGGATTAATCTTTTCCACCAAGCATAAAGAAGAAAAACCTGCAAGCTTCAATGGAGAAATATTCTGTAGTAAGCAAAAGGAAGAGAAGCCTGCTAACTTCAATGGAGAGATATTCTGCATGAAGCAAAAGGATGAAAAGCCCGGCTCTGTGAATGGATTAATCTTTTCCACCAAGCATAAAGAAGAAAAACCTGCAAGCTTCAATGGAGAGATATTCTGTAGCAAGCAAAAGGAAGAGAAGCCTTCTAACTTCAATGGAGAGATATTCTGCATGAAGCAAAAGGATGAAAAGCCCGGCTCTGTGAATGGATTAATCTTTTCCACCAAGCATAAAGAAGAAAAACCTGCAAGCTTCAATGGAGAAACATTCTGTAGTAAGCAAAAGGAAGAGAAGCCTGCCAACTTCAATGGAGAGATATTCAGCATGAAGCAAAAGGATGAAAAGCCCGGCTCTGTGAATGGATTAATCTTTTCCACCAAGCATAAAGAAGAAAAACCTGCAAGCTTCAATGGAGAGATATTCTGTAGCAAGCAAAAAGAAGAGAAGCCTGCTAACTTCAATGGAGAGATATTCTGCATGAAGCAAAAGGATGAAAAGCCCGGCTCTGTGAATGGATTAATCTTTTCCACCAAGCATAAAGAAGAAAAACCTGCAAGCTTCAATGGAGAAACATTCTGTAGTAAGCAAAAGGAAGAGAAGCCTGCTAACTTCAATGGAGAGATATTCTGCATGAAGCAAAAGGATGAAAAGCCCGGCTCTGTGAATGGATTAATCTTTTCCACCAAGCATAAAGAAGAAAAACCTGCAAGCTTCAATGGAGAGATATTCTGTAGCAAGCAAAAAGAAGAGAAGCCTGCTAACTTCAATGGAGAGATATTCTGCATGAAGCAAAAGGATGAAAAGCCCGGCTCTGTGAATGGATTAATCTTTTCCACCAAGCATAAAGAAGAAAAACCTGCAAGCTTCAATGGAGAGATATTCTGTAGCAAGCAAAAAGAAGAAAAACCTGCAAGCTTCAATGGAGAGATATTCTGTAGTAAGCAAAAAGAAGAGAAGCCTTCTAATTTCAATGGAGAGATATTCTGCATGAAGCAAAAGGATGAAAAGCCCGGCTCTGTGAATGGAGTAATCTTTTCCACCAAGCATAAAGAAGAAAAACCTGCAAGCTTCAATGGAGAGATATTCTGTAGCAAGCAAAAAGAAGAAAAACCTGCAAGCTTCAATGGAGAGATATTCTGTAGCAAGCAAAAGGAAGAGAAGCCTTCTAACTTCAATGGAGAGATATTCTGCATGAAGCAAAAGGATGAAAAGCCCGGCTCTGTGAATGGATTAATCTTTTCCACCAAGCATAAAGAAGAAAATCCTGCAAGCTTCAATGGAGAGATATTCTGTAGCAAGCAAAAAGAAGAAAAACCTGCAAGCTTCAATGGAGAGATATTCTGTAGCAAGCAAAAAGAAGAGAAGCCTTCTAACTTCAATGGAGAGGTATTCTGCATGAAGCAAAAGGATGAAAAGCCCGGCTCTGTGAATGGGTTAATCTTTTCCACCAAGCATAAAGAAGAAAAACCTGCAAGCTTCAATGGAGAGATATTCTGTAGTAAGCAAAAAGAAGAGAAGCCTTCTAATTTCAATGGAGAGATATTCTGCATGAAGCAAAAGGATGAAAAGCCCGGCTCTGTGAATGGATTAATCTTTACCACCAAGCATAAAGAAGAAAAACCTGCAAGCTTCAATGGAGAAATATTCTGTAGTAAGCAAAAAGAAGAGAAGCCTGCTAATTTCAATGGAGAGATATTCTGCATGAAGCAAAAAGATGAAAAGCCCGGCTCTGTGAATGGATTAATCTTTTCCACCAAGCATAAAGAAGAAAAACCTGCAAGCTTCAATGGAGAAATATTCTGTAGTAAGCAAAAGGAAGAAAAGCCAGCTAATTTCAATGGAGAGATATTCTGCATGAAGCAAAAGGATGAAAAACCCGGCTCTGTGAATGGGTTAATCTTTTCCACCAAGCATAAAGAAGAAAAACCTGCAAGCTTCAATGGAGAGATATTCTGTAGTAAGCAAAAAGAAGAGAAGCCTTCTAATTTCAATGGAGAGATATTCTGCATGAAGCAAAAGGATGAAAAGCCCGGCTCTGTGAATGGATTAATCTTTTCCACCAAGCATAAAGAAGAAAAACCTGCAAGCTTCAATGGAGAGATATTCTGTAGCAAGCAAAAAGAAGAGAAGCCTGCTAACTTCAATGGAGAGATATTCTGCATGAAGCAAAAGGATGAAAAGCCCGGCTCTGTGAATGGATTAATCTTTTCCACCAAGCATAAAGAAGAAAAACCTGCAAGCTTCAATGGAGAGATATTCTGTAGCAAGCAAAAAGAAGAGAAGCCTGCTAATTTCAATGGAGAAATATTCTGTAGTAAGCAAAAGGAGGAAAAACCCCTAGCTCTGCTTGAGAAGATCTTCTGCAGAAAGCAAATGCAAAAGAATCCACGCGGATCATTTGCAGAAGTCTTCGGTACCAAGCGAATGCAAGAGAATCCCATTGAATTAACTGACGATGTGTTCTGCACAAATCAAATGGAAGAAAAGCCCTTGAGAGCAGCTTGTAGCTTACTTAACTAATTACTTAAAATTCGAATTGCTAATATCATTTATCACATCAAAGCATAAATCATAAATAAATTAATTTTTAATATAGTTCAGTTGTTTCATTTCGTATTTACTGAGGTAACGAATTGCTCGGTCCATGATTTCCAGGATGGAGAGTATAGATGTTCTGTGTGACTTTCCGTCCCATTTATATATCGTAAATGACAGCTAGAATTTTGATGACATGTCCCTAGGATCGTCATATCAATTTTCAGCTACACGAACATTACATTACACCCTTCAAAGCGTAAAGTCGCATAAATTGCTTAAGCATATATCTCCCATTGTTTTTGGGGAAAGAATCGCCAAATTTTAAATGTGTATTTATGTATGGTCGCGGCACGTCTAATCTAATTGTCACAATCCAATCTCTGCAGCAAGTTTCTTTGCCACTTGTTATTAGACTGAAGTCAGAGTATTTCTCACTCTATACGATCAATTCCAACTTGTTAATAATAGATATTTGCACAGGTATTTCAGACACAATCTGTGTTTCTAAATTTAAGTGTAGGATTATAGAGGTCGCATCGTAAAGAAAAGGACATTGTTTTTGTTTTAATTTCGAATAATTATTGACAATCCCATGCACAAAACATATGCAAATTGTTTACATAAACTGAAAAATAATTTTTGATCTTAGGAGCCAATGTTTCAAAAATTTCAGTAGACATATTTTTTGTACACCCCAGAGTCATAGTATTTGTGATTGTCGTTCCAAAACTTTCGAAATTTCTTAATATTTTCGGGTTTTTCGTAATTTTTTCTTTTTAAATTCCAGGTGAAACATTTTCAGAAATCTAAAAAATATTTGTTGGCTGAACATTAACAAAATGTTTTCTGCGCCATGTCGTTCGGTCAACTTTAATTCTCTTTCTCGACTTAACCCAATTATTCCCGGGCTTCAGTCACTGCGAAAATATGCAGGAAAAAAATGTGGAAAGCAGTTAACTTCAAAGTGTGGAACTATAATAAACGACAAATGCGGCACAACGCGTCCGACGGTATTCCATGTTCCCAAGCCGCCGGTCAAAAAACCGCCCCTGGTCTCAATGTGGAAAATAAAGGACTGTGAGCCATCTGATATCTGTGTTTTGGATCTGCGCTATGATATGAAATATTACAGTATATCGGATAAGAGAAAACGAAAATATCAGATAACATGGAACGAATGCCCTCGCCTCCTAATTAAGCCAAAAAAAGTCTGTGTCTACGATAAAATTAGGCGCCCAAAGATCAAGCGTCGCAAGCGCAGAGCCGTCGCTAAAGGATCCAAGGTCGCCAAAAAGGGAAAATGTGTTTATATTACAGCGCCTTGCTGCAAAGTTGGACGCCGTCCACCTAAGTGCAAGAGTGCATTCCCCAGTCTTGGAAACTGTGAAAAACGCAAGACGCCCTATCCCAGTTTTTCCGAGTGCAAAAAGGATCCCATGATACCGTTGCCTCCGGTCGAGTGTCGCTGCTTAGACCTCCCTGCCCTTTGTGATGCTTGGGCAATATTACGTCGACGTATAGCCAGGGGGAAGAAACCAATTAAAAAGTGCGGCGAAGTCTAAGCTAAAATCGACATAATCGATTGATATTAACTTCTAATTGGGAACAAACGCGAAAGGTTGAAAATAAAGAAGTCTCACCAAGATAACAGCAGAGCAAGTAAGAACTTCAAATTCCAAATTTGAAAGAAAAAATTAAACAATTGTATTGGATCTAATGGAAACTAGTTGGTTAAAGTTCATATATAAACACACGTTTGGATAGTTGTCATAGAATGGTGCTGATATTATCTTGGGTTCAAAGTCAATACCATTTGGAAATACGGAAAGAAAAAAAACTCGAATAATATATTATAAATTGTTAAATCATACTATTAAATCTTATATCTTAAGTTGTCTGCGTCTATTATTCTCGCATTTATTCGCCGCCCGTTTGCTGAAGGTGCTTAAAATTGCAGTTTTAGTAATATTGCCGATTAGTGTATATCATAAACATAGTCAATCGCAATGGTTCGTGAGTTAAAATAATCTATGGGTATGGTAGCTACCAGTTGTTTATGATTGACCAGTCCTACTACTTTTTTACAAGAAGATTTTGTCATCGGACTCCAGGCATTTCAAAGTGAAAACAAAGTAGCCCCGTTATTTGAAGCCCATACTCTCTATTTCTAATTTTCTAAAACTCATTTACATTTCAAATATTGTGGAGCAACTACAAAAGTCTACATTTTGTTTGTTTGCTTTTTTTTATAACTTTTTGAGAACATTGAGCAGAGTAACCAAATTCCAAATCCGACCATGCGAAACTTAAATCATATATGTGAAATTTTAATAGATTCTAGACGTAGCCTCCATTTGGCTGCCAATTCGAATATCCTAGATAATAGCTGCTGGGAGCTACGCAAGCAAGCGACGACTCGGAGCAGTGCCGATCAACTGATCTATCGACCACGCTTAACGGAAGACATCAAATTGACTGGCTTGGGCGTGGCAGGAAAGACGTATAAGGGCACCATGGGGTACCAAGATGCAGTTCCTAACTCGATGTCAGAGAAGCGATTTGATCTGGCATACTACAAGCCGAAAACCCTAAAGGAACGCATCTACAACCGCACTTGGACCGATTTCAGGGGATGGAACGACCTCAAATCTCATCAATCCATTTCTGAGGCTACCCATACCCATCCCCCTCGCACACGTAGCTTCAGGCTTACTCGTAAGAAAGTTGGTCCACTGGTGATGAGCGAAGGGGTTGCGGTGGTTCGAAAACCTGATGTCCAGAAGGCAAACAGTACGAAAACCGATTTATTAACCCATAATCACTCCAATCGGTGCTCTCTAAGTGCTTTCTCTTTACTAAGTAGTACCTTTTGATGTAAACCACTTATGTAAATAAAATAAATTAAATTATGTGTACTGATATTCTTATGGAACTTAAATTGCTGCGTTAGTTTTGCGTAAGTAAAATAATTTTCATCTTTATTTGCCTCTTAACAATAGATCCCGGTTTGTTTGTTGATGGCTTTTGCAATATTATATGTGGAACACGATTGTATATGCGTAAATCTTCCTTTGTATTTGAATTATATGTGCGTAGTTAATTAGATGTAAAAATATTCTTTCGAAAACTTTAATCACTTTAGCCTGGATTTTTACTTAAATGACATTTCGAATATCCTACAAGAACCTGAACATAATAATCATTTTTACAATAGACTTTCTGGAAAACGGAATAAAAAACAGCTGAAGTTTTTTCAGTTTCCATATACTTTTAAATTCATTTTCGGTCCAAATAAAAAAAAATTGACTATTTGATTTTAAAAATTTTTGGTCTAAATTCAAGATGCAATCTTTAAAAAGGAGCTTCGGTCAGCTACAACGCATAGTTAATGCGTCTCCTTATCAACAGTGCCCGGGGCAGGTTCTTGCAGCTGTCGGCAATACAAACTTGATAACATCGAAGCGTTATTTGGACACTTTGTACGGTGCAGAGTCTTGCGAGGATTGTGTACAAGCCTACTATATTCCGCCAGCCCGCAAAGGCCTGAAGAAATTGAAGAAGCCTGATCCATTCAAAAACAAGGATCCATGCTGGCAATCTCTACGTCGAACAGAGTACAAATGCCGCACCGATCCAGAATTTATGCTAGATGCCTTTATCGATTGGAAAACGAGATGCCTTAAGGATCCTTGTTCATTTGATGTGCCCCGTGCTGATCTGATACATTACAAGCCAACCGATAAGCTAAGGCGCAAATATCGGCGCACCTGGTGTAAGTTCGTATTGAAGCGGCAAGCAATTAAAATGAAGTGCATGCACAAGCCAGTAACATTTAAGCGTCGCAAGCCAAGGCGTTTCACAGTTGTGAAATCATCCTGTCAGCGAAAGGAAGTTGACCCATGCGCTCCAAAACTGAACCTTCGCACATGCAAGCCAATGAAAAAGACGCTTTGTCCACGTCTTACAATGCCCCATTGTAAGCCAAGCGTTGTCCCGCCCTCTTGCAAGAGAGGTGGCAGGAAACGTAGCAAATGTCGCAAGCGTCTAACCAAATATCCGGCATTCTCCGAGTGTCTCATAGATCCTTTGCCGTCGGCGCCACGAGTCGAGTGCAACTGCCTCCTGACTCCATCTATGTGCAGTGTTTGGGAATACTACCGAAACAAGAAATCATAAGCGAATAATCCAACCAGTCGACTGCCGATAAAATCCATTAATAAATCATAACAAAGCTGCATTCAACTATTACAATAATTATCCACAATTCACAATTTGAAAATATTAAAATCTAGGCTCGCTGAACATTGCTTGCTTTGTGTTGCTAATTGGCAAATTATTGAAATGTCTTAGAATAAATGCTCTTATTTGAGAGGTCTGCAATTAAGGGCGAAGGCCAAATTAGATCCAACATGACATTTTGGGATATCTAGAAATGAATAAATCTCGGGAGCTGAGAGTGCCATCGATTCTTTTAATTTAGTACTTTTGGTAGCTCTGTTGGCCAAAATAATTAAGTGATCCACCAAATAAGGTATCCATATCCACGGATGGGATAACACTGCTAAAATACTTTCACTCTCAATAGCTATAAATTCCATAGCTTACTGAAAGTTGTTTTATTTTAGTACTCATTTTGGCAAAGAAAATTTCAAATTTCTCTAAAATTAAAAATATAAAATGCTTTTAAAACAACTCTTTGCATCTCAGATCTTGCAGCGCACTGTGACGTTAACAAACGTGTTAGTAAACTCTTCTAAACATGGCTACCACGGGAGCAACTATGAGCCCACGCCTGGTAAATGTGTCCAGGTGCGCGACAAGCAAACGACTAAATGCCTGGCGAAGTATATCCATTGCAAGCCCATTGCATCACCAAAGCCTTCTGATATGAGCTTGTGGAAAGACTATTCAGAACAATTGATGCGGATCTTAAGACCCAAACAGATTGATTGCGAGCTAATTAAGCACGATATATGTTATTATCAGCCCTCGAACAAGAGTCGGCGATATCAGCGCACTTGGCCCGAGTGTGCAATGATTTATCTTCAGCCAAAGAAAGCCTGTTGCTTTGACAGAGAATATTATACGCCGAGCTGCCGCCGCCCAAGGTCTCCTCCGGTTCCACCCCTAACTGCCACTCAGAAACATGCGTTCCATATGGCATTGTTAGGCACAAATTGTAAGCTTGGAACGAAATTACAACTAAAATGTCTCAGGGTTCGTAGACATTTAAATTGCAAGAAGGAAGTTGCACCATTTCCCTGTTTTTCCGAGAGTGATCAAGCCGGTATGCGGGGCAGCTGTCCCACGGAATGTGGCTGTAGGGTGTCGCCCTCCATGTGTGAAGCGTGGTCGGCTTACCATCGGAACTCAGGTTTGGTTAAGAGGTGCACAGAAGCAATAGTCGGTTACTGTCCATTCAAGAGTCGATCACGTCCCTTGTCTTAGGGACTATCCTTCAAGAGTTCTGGGTCGAGCGCAAGTTGGATGATTACGACGCTCTCGATGCCCGTTTCGCAGAGTGCTAGTCCCTTTTAATCATATCTGGAGCTTTCTTAAATCTTGCTATCAGCATATATCAAATTCTAAATTTCTATCAAAATATTAGTTCGGCTATGCAGTTGAAATTTTCCTCGGTTTTATCAACGCTGGCTCCTATATGGCGCACACCCATCGTTTCCTCTGCAATACGCAATCTCACATGCCAGAGTTCATTTCCAGATCCACCCTGCAAACCACCACATCCGAAGTGCCATTTCGTCCAAGATAAATGCTGGACAGCACGTAATACATTGGCCCTGAAGGTACCATTTGATAAGCAAATGCTCGACTTGGAGCGACAGAAACGGGAGAAGCTAACGGAACCACCGTGCTGCGTGCAACGAGCATCCTCTTGCACTCCCTGTGCGCATGCTTGGCCGAAGCGAAACGCGAAGGAGAAGGAGCTGGATAGCCTGATTAAGCCATTTCGCTCGATGTGGGCACATTCCAGCATACCCCACAATCATCCAAGCTGTCCAGATCTTTATCCACGCTTCGATGCAATGTTCTACACTCCGTCAAACAAAAGCAGATCCTTGCAGCGCACCTGGGTTGAATGTCCGAAGGTGCAAGAACGCTTGAAGAAAGTCTGCTGCCCAGATAAGATCATACCGCCTGAGGTGCAGAGACGCGTCAAAAAACGGTGTCCCCAGGCTGCCTGCGCCTTCGACTACGTCCGCATGCGAAAACTCTGCGCACACAAGTCCAATGACAAATGCAGAAAGTTGTTTTGGCCCTGTTGCAAGCCAGAGCGCTGCGAACTTGGCTGTAGAATCCATAGAGCGCCCAGCGCTTGCAAGCGGTTACGTGCACCCTGTCCATGTTTTTCGGAGAGAAGACCAAGCCACCGAGTACGGCGTCAAAAGGAATGCCGGGAAATCCTCAACTTTTGCCAAATGTTTGCATTGCACAACCGACGTGAAATGTTTAACATAAAGAGCTCCTATTGCTAATTCAGCTATTGTATAAAGCAGTTCACGAGCTATCATCATTGATTGCTCTGGAACAGAGGCATCATCATTTAAGCTTCTGTTCCAGAGCAATCAATGCTGCTGAAAATAATAGATGATATTTGCAAATATTTGTATATCTAAATTCAAAGATTTATTTGGCTATTTCTTTTGAGCTGGAGTTAATGTCAGAGTATAGATTCATTGTCATGTTATCAAAAGGCTTGTCTCAAATACATAATAGTGTTATTTTCTCTGTTTTGCACATTTCTATTGAAAATACTGGAAGAAGAGTTGTATATCGATATTCTTTGTTTGCCGCTTTGGAAAATGGTTTAAAACGTTTAAAACTATATTGCATAAACAGCATGAGCTCTTGAAATTAACATTATAGTTTAAACGGATCAACGCATTTAATTGAGGGGCACCAATAAGGTCCAAACCGATGGCGGTTAGCATCGCATGCGCTAACAACTTGGAAACAACGGCATTCGGGCGGACGTTCCATGATAACAGCTGGCTCCATGCGATCGCATTCCGAATAGCTGGGAAAGGGGCACTTAACCTTCTCACAAAAGGTACGTTGCCGAGTCAGATGGCATTTGCCCGGAACGCGGGCGGCTCGACAGCAGGGCATCGTGATACGGGGGCAACCCGTTGACATCCTGTTCTCACATTCCATACGCTTCTTCTCATGTGTCGGCGTGCAGGCGGTGCGTGGACATAGGGGCAGGCAGCGACGCGATACCTCGGGCGGAATGGCATCGCACCAGCAGCAAATACGCTTGGGCACCATCCTTGGACAGCATTCCGACCAGGTGCGCTGAAACTGCCGACACTTGTCCGACGGACGATAATACATTGCGTCGAAGGGCACATCTGGGCATGTGGGGCAACACTCGGGCGGATAGTTCCACATCGTATACTCCATGGGCTTCCCTTTTATTGGCTGTGGCCACATGGAGACGAACTGTTTGGGCTTTGGCTTGGCCTTAACGGGCATCTCACAAATATTCTTCGCTATATTCGCATCTCGGCAGCAGGAATATTGCGGATTAGGTGAACAATCCTGTTCATTGCATGGCCGCACTGGTGGATCTGTTGGACTGCATTGCCGCTTCGAGAGCGGCTGGCAAATTTCGGTTTTCGTTTCCGGGCACTCAAGCGGTGAATTATTATCATGGTTCGAGGGCGGCTTACCGCTGCCAAAGTATTTGACGTTGGATAAATAAAATGGCTTGTATTTTGTAATCGAACAGGTGGTAAGACTCTTGACCAGATTTCTTAACATTGCAGTGTTGTTATTGATCTCATCGAACAATTTTGAATTTCTTATGCAATTCCAAAGGTACAGACCAAAAGCTTATTAAAACAATACTATTAAAGGGAGTAACGATATTCGAACGATCTACTTAGCCAGGCTAACTAGCTCGAACAAAATATGAGGACTTTCAACGTGACGTCAAAACTCTATCGCTAAATTAGAAATTATAAAGTCGAATGCACTAATTACAATATCATGATTTTTTTAATAATTTTCTGCTGCAGCAGCGACAATCTACCACAATCGATTGCAGTTTATTCACAAAGTTATGTGATGAAATTACACTCGAAGGTTGTAGAAGAGAGATGCTGCCAGAATACAAGTAAAATATAAGAGAACACCTATTAATATTTTGGACACATTGTTGGATAGTTCAATCTTTGCAATAGCTCCCGATATAGAACACAGGCAGATTGACCAAGGGCCTGGGCACGAGCCTTTGCTGCAGCTAATTTCTCAAAAGAAGTCAGCTAGGGAAGCCCAGCCTTGTTTGTTCAACAGCTTCGATGTTGATTGTTGTCGGATGTTTCGCCGTTGCAAAGTGAAATCATAGATATTGTCCAGTGACTTGGGCTTCTCCAGAAGCGGCAATTGAAATTGATTTTCAGCTAACGATTGCCATAGCAAATACTTGCGATCCGCGGCGGCCATTTGAACAGTGGGCGATGTGATGTTCTGCTTAATCGATTCCACTGGCATGTTGCAACGCAAGTTGCCCGCTTGAGCTTTGGAGTAGCGTGTCAGGAACTTGGTCAGGCGCTCCGCACAGATTGTTGCCACAATGGAGGTGCCCGCCATTATCACTAGCTGCTGATCCCGATGCTCTTTGTTGAAAATTTATTGAAAAACCACAAAATTGATTTTGAAAATATTTGACTAATTTTCAGAAATTTTCTCGTATCGAACCGTAATTGTAATATGTGAGTGAGGTTAAAGTCGATGCAGCTTGTACATGAACAGGAACTGAACTAAAAGTTTTTCGACAAATTTTTTTCAATATTATCTCCTGAAATAACAATAAAGTCCAAGCACTGACAGGGAACAGCAAACGGTTAACAACAAGCTGCACATGTTTAGATTTAATTGAACATTTAGCCAAATTAAAATACATTTTATTACGCAGTCATGAGACAAAGTCTTGCAAAGAAATGCAAAACAAGGCAAAACGCTCGCCCAATCAGCCAAAACTCACTAAAAAGGCTAACAGACAACTGGAGACAGGGACAAAGACAGAGAGACAGGAATTGAGACAGCGCTGTTGCTGACAGAGAGCTGCAATCTCAAGTCTCAAGTTTTTGTTTTTGTTTTTGCCTTTTGGCCAGGCTGAGGCACGCAACGGATTATTTTGGCTTTTCGGCTGTGAATTGTTGCATTTTTTTCTTTTTACCACTAGTCGAATATTTGGCACAGATTCGCAGCATTTGAGACGGAACTGCGAGCCGAGTGCCCAAATGGCCAAAAGATACTCCAAGAAACTGGTTTGCAGTGGGCGGCTGAAGCATCGGTGGGGAAATGGGGGTCTCGAAAGTCAGCTAACATGCGTTCTGCAATTGTTTAATAGCCTAATTAAAATGTGCGCAAGGAACAGGTTAAGAGCCAGGAAAGCACATGCAAAAGCGCCAGCTGCCAACATTGATTTGGACAGTCACCGCCTGTGACAGCTGACGAGTTGCAGTCGCAGTCGCAGTCGCAGTCGGAGTCGGAGTCACAGTCACTGTGAAGCGGGTGGTTTGTCACTGCTTGTTTCTGCACTCTCTCTCTCTCTCTCTCTATCTCTCCTCTCTCCGCTATTTGTTTTTTTATTTTTTCTCTATTTTTTTTTTTTTTGTTTGCAATTACATTTGGTTGTTAATTGCATTATGCATATTTATGGACGGGCCCCTAGTTAGAGAGACTCGACTACCGGACCCAGCACAATGCGGCTCATTAGCATACATCAGCGCGTTAAGCGTAGAATGAGTATGAGTAAGTATGAGTGTGAGTGTGAGTGTGAGTGTGAGTGTGAGCGCAGATGAGCACGAGTCTGAATGAGTTATAACAGCTCGCTGTCTGCCAGTGAGTGCCAGCATCTCCATGAATGTCAGTGTGCGAGTGTGTCTCTCGCTCTCTCTTCGTCTCTCACTAATTTAAATTAAAATATGAAAAATACTCGAGGCGACAAGGAGCAGCAGCCAAACACAAGAGCGAACACCACAATATATATATCTATACAGATATATATTTATACATATATATATATAAGTATGTGTGTGTGTGTGAGTGTGAAAATCAAATCTAAAATAGCTGCCGGACATAACGTAATCAAATTGTGAATGTGGCCAGTTGTCTAAAGCATGAGTTGTGCTTGTTTGCGGAATTTGAAGAATTGGACTCGGATTTTCTTCTTTATAACAGAGCAGTGCTTAAATCAATTATTATAAAAATTAGTTTTCGTTTATTATTTGAAATCAACGTTTTGCACACTAATATGGATTTCCAAATTGAATTCGAATGTATTTTATTATAAATTAAATATGTCTTAGAAAAATTATAATTTCTTTTAAAAGTTTCACACTTTGCTTAAAATAATTGAAATGTATTCTAGAAATATTCCTATTCTTACAATATATTCTTAAATATATATCACTTCCTTATCGAATTTCATGTACTAAAATTAATATTAAATGAAAACTGTTCGTTTTGCTATAGTCTAAACTTAATTTACTCTGTCCAAGCAGCATCAATAAGTTAAGCCTATGCTCCTGCCACACTCTCACACATGCCGAACCACCACACACAGACAACACCACATCACACCACACCACACCGCATCACACTCTCCCAGATACACACAGACACACGCACACGCACACAGAAACATGCCTATAGGAATTTTCTTGGCTGCTAAGAAGTGTCCAAGTAGAAGTATTTATGCCTGCTCTCAGTATAAGTATTTCCTGTATGTGAGGGCTTCCAATAACCACCGAGTGCCCTTTGCTGAGCGCCTGCTACCACGCAGAGCAACAACGAGAGAGAAAGAGAGAGAGAGAGAGAGAAAGAGAGAGGGAGAGAGTGAGAGAGAGAGAGAAAGAGAGCGTAGGAGAGCGAGCAGCGATAAGAATGTACGAAATGGCCAGAACGACTTGCAACGCTCGTGGAAGGAAAGTCGCGGCTAATGGCCGTAATAAATAAATATGCCATTAACCCACTTGGAAAGCGGACGCAACGTCATTGCCACATGCAAAAATATGTGGAAATATTAGGCGGCATTTGTATATCAATATGTGGCAGCGGCAAACTTTCTAATCGCACAATAATTGCAGGCAAAAAAAGGAAAATAAGCTGATGCTGATGCAGCTGCCAAGCCAAGCAATAATTAAATGTTGCTGCTGCCACATGTTGCCAAACAACAACGGTAAACATATATCAAAGCTCAACTACAGCTGACTGTATGATCTTGTGCTTATTCAAGCATATTATCAGCAGCTCAATATCCTTGTTCTTGTTCGCATCAGCTGATTATCAAATAACAAATGAATAATAAATAAGCTCAATAATTGATCAACAACTGAAACATGCATATCAAAATAATAAAATAAAAAAAGCTTACACAAATAACGTACTGAATCAAGGTTGTAATTTTCTCACAAATTCTCACACATTCTCACTCTGCATTCATTTGCATTCACACCTCGGCAACATGTTGCTTAAGTTAAGTGCTTGGCAACATATTATTGGCGATTGCTTGCGTCCACATTAATTTATATGTAGTGATTAGGGGCAGCCCCAAAAGAGTTCGTTCGGCTTATGGTTCGGCCGGCAATTTGCAAACTTTGACCAAATAAAATTTATTGTAATGACAGTCGCACGACATTTTATAATTAAGTCAAATTGTTGGTCAGCTCAAAAACCGGTTATCCAGGCATGCCATTTAGCTGATCTGACTGATGGATGTGACTGCTGCTGCTGCTGCTACTCCGAATATGCGCATGGTCTATCGTCGATCTGCGCAGAGCCGAGCTTGGATATATAAACCCCATTCAGTCCAATGCCAATTAGGCCGTCCCTAATATCCCTGGTTGGGCAATCAAACGGATGGGAGCGATACGTAACAAGGACTCGCTGACGGACGTACGCTCGGGTCCGGGGACAGCAATACGTATCGTTTAATTGAAATAATTACATATTAAGTGTATTAATTATTTTTTTCACTCGCATTTTGGAAGCACATGCAAACGGATCGACGCGCCTGAAAGTCGCCTGCGCCATTTTCTCCGCAATTATTAATTTAAAGCATTCGCGACTCCGCTGGGTATCACGTAGCATATAACCACAATTAGTTGTGTTTGTTGTTCGAGGCAGTTGTAGGCACGCAGCAGTAACAACAGCCATTGCCTGAGCAACTTGCAACTCGTTTTGTTATTGCTTAGGTCATAATTATTAACGTGAAATCATAATTAAAAATGTATTTAGCCGAGTTTTTAAATACGCCTAGATGGCCGCCGGGGCGACGACTCCTTGATGCCACAGGACCTGCCAGCTAGTTAATAAACTTGCCAGTACAGAGACTAAAAGGTGCAGCAAGTTGCTGAGAGATTTTATGCGAAAGCAAACATTTTAAAGGGCTGACAGTAAAAATGCAATTGAGAGCTTCCAGTAAGCAAATATATCATTACTATAACTTTTTGCAGAGTTTGAAGAAGTAAAATATTTTAAAAGTATCTGTTCTTTCTGTGAACAGAAATTTAATTAGGCTTTAATAAAGTCCCTGCTGAATATATGAACTTAATGTCCATCCGATTCATCAAAATATCTTTATTACTTTATTAAATTGCTACCCGCTACAAGCAAGTAATAATAAGTAATTATTAACTAGAACGCAATTGTCTATCACTAATTGATAATAGCTTCAAATAAGTACATTTCGTGGCACCCTGTATTAAACATGGGGGGCACCATGTAATTAGTCTTTTGGCTAATTGCAACTAATGTGCATTTGAAAGCGAAGACTTTTCAATATACATATA